CCCTACAAACACTAGGGAAAAAAAACAACGAAATTCAGCATTGTGCACTTTTTTATTGTAAAAGCAGGCTGGCGGGTGACAATTTCAATATGCATTATTAGCTATATAAATGTTAGTGGCAAGCGCTATGGTTTACTGCCTCTCAGTAAATTACGTGAAAATTTTGCTTTAGTAATCAATGTTTTTCTGGGTCTGTAATCTCTCTGATGATGTCATTGGCTATTTACATTGTGTGTGGGGAAAGAGACCACTCCAGATCAGATTCACAAATCCTTACCTCCAAGATACCATATAGATGTGAATCAAGTATACTGCCCTTGGGTGACAAAATGAATCTGGTGAATGCTTTTTATTTAAAGCAGTTAGTGTTTTTTGCATGTAGTAGTGTGAGTATTCACAAGTGCTTTTCATGTGACGTTTGTGAGCTGCGTGCGCTAAGAAGAGATTTGCATTTGAGATAGGATTCCAGCTTGTTGATTGTAAAGGACTTACAAGGGCATACACCATTACTAAATATCACAGACAAGAAGCAAGCCAAAATGTCTCTCTGCATGTAAGCATGCTTAGGTGCAATATTGTGGGTAACAGGGAACAGATGTTTTACAGTGTAGGATTAATGTTTGGTTTTGCTTTTGGTTCTTTTGGTAAAAGTTTCTTTCATGATTGTTGCTTTTTTGTACAATCCAGATGCAAGAAAGTGAGCAAATGCTGGAAGTGTGACAGCAGTATCTCTTATGTGATATATCTTGTACAGCTTAATGTGCAATAAAAGAAAGTTACATCTGTCTTCAGTGTAAATTTTCTGGCATTATAAGCCTCTATATACAAGTGGGGGGAGGGAATCTTTTTTTTCAGTACTGAGTAAAGGGAGGCTAATAAGCAAATTAATATTGTTAAGGTGTTGCAAAAAGTATTACCACCTTTGAGCATTTCTTACAAACATCATTAAAGTTAATAAATGATGAAGTTCCACTCCCCAACACAATAGGTCTTTACCTTTAGATGGCAGAACTCATTGCTATAATTGGCAGTATTTAGACACTTAGAAGCACTAGTACGTACTGTTCTTAGACACACAAATGAACTGGGAGTAAGTGGAAAACTAGCTATAAACAGGAAATCTACTTAAAAGAAAAACTATGGAATATTGCACCAGTACCATTCCTTACAGATATGGTTATTTTTTTCTCTTGGGATTATTGAAAAAAGAAGCAATTTTACGCAGGCAGTCAGTGTCTTCATAAGAGGTCTTAAAATTCTGGTATTTCCAAAACAGAGAGATCAATAGAGTTATGTAATATTTGCTGTTCAGTTGCATACAGATTTTGACTGACTGACTGATTATCCAAGCAAGTCTATGAAAGCTTTGGCAGTCCCTGCTCTGTGCCCCCTTAGTTCAGTTGTACTAGATGAGCCATGTCACATGCAAGAATAAATATTATTCTGTAAGTGCTAAATCACCAAAGACTCCCAGTGAAAATCATGTTTAGACACTTGATACTAGATAAAGTATAGTGCCAGCTGACTGGAATTTCACTGGGCATGTCCCAGTGAGTGCACATGTGCAGTTTGCAGCACCTTAAACCTGTTTGAGGCACCACAAACTGCACATGGCACATGTGCACCCATTAACTGTTAATTAGCAGCATGGTGGTTTTTTGACACCCGGAGAGCCCAGTGTGTCAATCACTAAAAAAGGCAGCGCACTCAGCAGCAGTGTGCACCACCAGAAACAGCCTCGCTGGTTAAAGCCACACGCTAGCTGCCAGCCAGGCTCCAAGTGGATGGATCACCACCGATGCTGCCCTGGGAGGCCCCCGGACTCCAGAGAGGACTGCTGGAGCCAGCACAGGTGCTGGCTCCAGCCTTCCCTAACCTCACCCGGGGCAATTTGCTCTGCACCAGCTCCACATACAGGGGTGTGCACAGCAGCAAAAAGCAGCAGCACAAATTTGTGCCACTACTGTTTTTGCTGTGGCAACCACATGCCCCTGCATGTGGAGAAGCACCCACTGAGGACATTTTCTGTCAGGAAGCATCTCCACAGAAGCGTGCTGATCAGTTCAGTCATGGATTTCACAACTTAGGTTTCTGCTGCATGTACTGTTCTCAAATTTTTTCCAATGCTATTTTATATGTTCGAATATATTGTAGACTGTGGAAAGGCATTAACTCATTCTCTTGGGTAATTAAGCATTAGCTTTGAATATCATATGTTTTGTGTTCTTAATTGGTCAAATAAGTTACCAAATTATTTTAAAGTCTCCCAACTAGTGTCATTATAAAGAACTAGTGTCATTTTAAAGTAGTTTTACTGCTACACAAGTTAAGATAAATGGAAAGTGAATAAAGGTGGAGATCATTTAAAAGTCTGGATAAACAGTATTGCAATAACAACATAAAAAGCAGTAGATGCTTCCGTTGAGGTAATATAATGTTGGCATGTCCTTCTGTTTATAAATCTCTCACCAAAGATATCCCAGTGGAGTTACATGTGGAATAACTTTGGCCCCTCATATTTCATAGTTATTTTAAGAAGAATGGAGAAGAGCCATAAGTAAGCTATTAATGTACTGATTGTATTTAATAGTATTGACTAAACTAAATTGGTAGTTCATATTAACAAAACATTGCCTCAACACTTGACAGATTATTATTGAGCTCTTTGAAACTGTCACATTATGAAGTTTTTCTTGTACTGAACCTAGGGGGCCCAGTGCAACCCCAAGGAACGCAATCACAAAGCCAGGAGCCATTGCAACCACAGCGCATGTTCCCCTCGGGGCAGTCAGCAAAGCCCTCAACTTCCCAGCCACAGCGTCCACCTGGACCTACAACTCAGCAACCCCGTGCCAAGGCTCCAGGTCCTTCCAGTGTCGGGTTATCAATGGAAAAGGAACCACAGCCACAGCCTGCTCCACAGCAGAAGCCTCAGTCTCATCCACAACTTAAGTAAGATGTTTGTTATTTCTCCTCCCCTCCTCATTGTGGAATTTGACTGTGTCTCCATTACAGTAGCTTGAGTACCAACTTCATATGTAATAGAAGGGTGCAAAAGTGTATAGAAGGCATAACACCCCACCCCACACACACACACACACATGATTCTGTACTTGTCCCTATTCAGATAAAGTCATTATTGATATTCTAAGTGCTGTGAAAGCAAAATTTCCTATAATAGTTGCACATTTTCTGCTCAAACCAGGTTTACCTTGAAAATGCATCATCCCTTTCATTTCTTTTTTTCCTCCTTAAATGTCATTGACTCATGATCTGGGTGTGCTGAGAGGCTGTACAGAAAAGAGGGAAGTCTTATCTGTTTAAACTTTTAACCTTGAAGTCACTCACACAACGGATTCCAGTTTCAAAAGACCTAACTGAAAAATAATCTAAGCAAATGCACTCAGTAACGCTTAGGATGGGTTTCTGTGGAATGCTGCTTTTCAGTGACACATTGATGCTTGAATGAACAGTACCAGTAATTCATGCAAACCATCTCTATTGTATACAGTAGTGGAAGTGGAAATGCTTGTTCAACTAAATGTGTACAACAGAAAAGAATCCTTGGGTTCCAGGCAGTGGTGACATGTAGGGGGTGCACAGGGGTGTACGTGCACCCCCTGAGAGCACTGGTGCACCCCCTGTCAGGCCGTGATCCCTGCTTAGGCGATGGGCAGGGGGGCTGGGTGGGAGTGCCAGTATCACCCCTCTGAGCGCTGGCTGGGGAGTGTGAGCACCAAACGAGGCAACTGCAGCACTCCTGGAAGCTGCCGCTTCCTGGTGAACGCGATCAGCCACGGGGGACTCCCACTCTGGTCGGCGTGATTGGCCATGGGGGGACCCCTCCCCCCCACCAGTCACTGACTGGATGCTGACTAGGTGGGATCAGTTGCACATGGTTCCAGGCTTCACCGCTGGAGGCCTCTTCAATGTAGCACTGTGCACTAGGGCTGTGTGAAGCTTCAGGTGGTGATTCAATTTGGAGGAGATTCGGTCTGATTTGGTGATCAAATCCCTGAATCTGAATCAAATCAGGGGACCAATTTAAAGGTCTGAATCAATTCAAACTTTCCAAATCTTACAGTGTAACTATTATGCCTGCATCATTCTTTATCAAAACATGTGTAGCAAAACTGCTCCAACTTTGACTCTGCTTCATCCAGTGATTTTGTTATCTAACCTGCATCTCTAGAGGATAAGACAGACCTAGCAGTTAAATCATAATAGGTAATGTGTACTCCTGAACAGCAGCTCCTCCCACCCCCTTTAAAATGTATGTTCATACATGCCCTATGTTCAAAAAACAAAGAAACAAAATAGATTTTGGATCACACCATAAATCCACGTGAGTTACCAATTCTTTTTTTTCCCCTAGTAAACTATTAAAATTAAAATGTGAACTAATTGCCCCCTCTCCACCTACAGACAGACTATGATGGGGATCTGATTAGTGCCATTCAAAGAATGAGGCTCAAATGGACACTCGTGTCCAGAAGGGGTCAAATGTGGCTGCATCTGGACCATTGGATTTCATGTTCCTGTTGTCCTCCCTCTAAGATAAATTAATCCATTCTTTACATATACACTTGTTAATGGAAGAAGTTTTCTTTAGCCATGACAGATGATTAAAAAAACAGTTTGAAACTTTAATGAGGTTCTGCTGATGACATTTTTAAAAATAGTTATTGTATACACTAACAAAGTGCCCATCAAGAATGATGGGTGGGCAGCAGGGACAGAGCGCCACCACCCACCGCCCCACGCTGCTGCC